TTAGTTTGATATACTTGGCTGAGAGATTGGCTGAGAGAGCTAATGTGACACAAATAATAAAGAGCGTTTCATTTTGTTTTGTTCCAAATTTTAATAGTGGCCACACAATTAAAACTTTTGTTGTGTGCCCAGTGAATTTTAGTGATGGCCCCAAGTGAAACGAATAACTTTCACTATCCAGGAAGTCTGCCTTTGTCCAGGTTTACCAGGTTGGAAATCTCTAAGTCACATCGGATGAAAATAAATGGCTAGATAAGACAAATATTACTTGTGAAAATTCAGCACGATAAACATTTTAATTTGAATGAACGGCTGCTAATGCGTCTGTTCAGAGTTCAGACCAACACAAACATTTGCATGCCATCAATGGGACAGCTTTTTTCTTTTTTTTAAACAGAGGAGTCCTTATCTAGTATCTATAGACCAATTATAGGTTTGTAAACATTCAGGATGCGCGCGCATCATGGTTGCAGAAAACCCAGGAGAGATAGCCTTTACAGCTAGAGAATTTCACGGATACGGTACAAAATAGTTAGGTTTAAAAAGATTATAAATTATATTGATTAGATGTCATTTTCAAAATGTTCTCCGCATATTACAAGAGCTTGTCACCCAGCGATAAGCACTGTCTGTTATTCAACGAAATTGACGTTAGAGAGTGGGATAGTCTTACAGATCCGAAACAGGGATGACGGTTTTTGTGGGCGGAGCCTATCTGGAGGCAGAAAATGACGGTTTTCAAGTGGCAGTCTATGGAGCCATGAAATAAAAGAATTTTAAAAGAAAGGTAAATTTGATTTTATATTTCAAAATTCTGACTTTATTCTCACAATTCCGAGATTATATCTCACAATTCTAATAAGGAAAAACGACTCGCCATTCTCTCTTTTCCCCTCAGCCTTTCTGGCTTTTTTCCCTCAGATTTGACAAACTCACTATTTTTGAGTTAAGTCGAGTTATAAAGTCCGAATTAGGAGATATAAACTTGCATTTGCAAGAAAAAAAGGCAGAATTGTGAGATTAAATAAATGTTATGTAAAAATGTTAATAGTAAGGTTTAAATAATATTTCATGCTGTAACTGTAGGGCTAATACAATATGTCCCCTATGAACAGCATATGTGAATATCATGTAGGCCTATTGTTTAAATAGAATTTATGCTTTAAATGTAGAGTAATCATAGCAGTTTTCATCCATAGTATGTCCATTTAAACGTCTGCGTTTAGCTTCAAATGGCGTCTTTGATGACAGTATTCTATAAAAATTATTTGCATTCGGATCTTGACATCAAAAGGCACAAAAAAAAATGTTTCTTTTATTCCATGGATTTTACCCATTTACCTCCACTTGTTCCCAGTGTTTTTCTGCAACCACTATGCGTAAGTGACGTAACTGTGACGTCTACTCTGAATTGGTCTATTGCGCTGCAAAGAAAACTAACCAACCAATAAGATTAGATCTTTTCTAAAAGCGCCACCTACTGTCAGAGAGTGATTTCACATTTTCATTCAGCTCCTCTGCCATTTTTTATGCACTGATCTGAACAGACAGATCACAAATGCGAAAATTGCACCAAACATATTGTTGATGTAAACAGGCTTTAATATCTCAGAAAAACTTGACAATAGATTTTTCCCAGGATATATGTTCCTATTACTATGCCAATGAACTCTTCGGTTCCTTTATTCTATCCGTATCATCTTCAAAGCCAACCAATAAGATTAGATCTTTTCTAAAAGCGCCACCTACTGTCAGAGAGTGATTTCACATTTTCATTCAGCTCCTCTGCCATTTTTTATGCACCGATCTGAACAGACACATTCCTATTACTATGCCAATGAACTCTTCGGTTCCTTTATTCTATCCGTATCATCTTCAAATGTGTCAGATGGTTTGCAGGTGCAGATAAAACATCAGATTCAGACGATTCAAATCTGTCAGTATGTTACCTGAGTTAGAATGTAGTTTCTCTGAGCTTCATCCACTGAGATCAGACTGGCATTGATGTAGTCATTACTGCCGATCTGTAGACGAATACGGCTGTGGTCAACTGTGAAAAGAGAGAGCGATTAAGCTGTGAGGCGGATCACCCATGATGCTTTGCAAGTTCAGTGGTGGAACGACTCTTTTTCAGGTCCTGTTCTCAGTTCCCCACAAGAGAGAAAAACATTCCCCTGATGAAAACGCTCAATTCAAACAGATAAAATACACAGTCATTCATTTAATGTGGTCTTTTGTGAGCTGAGGACCTTTTCAGGGTGTTGTGGAAAAAGAAAAAGACTCAGAGAGAGAGAGAGAGAGAGAGAGGAAACCACAGCAGCGTTGCTCTTTAAAGTCTTTGTGACGGAAGAGTTAAAAAAGGGAGAGAGAAAAAAGACATGACATCTTCAGTGTGAAATGACTTTAACAGCTCGCTGATAACAGGCCCCTTCCGTTAGGTGTCACTGACTGTGTCGAACAGGGGAAGCGGCACACTTACACGGACTGACGTCTCTGTAGCGATTACGACTTCTGTTTTCTGGAAGTTTGGAGATCTTGCATGGTAGGTCACTGGACTGCTGCCTAATCTCCTACGGTAAAACACAAGTCTATGAGATGAAAATGCTTCTTACTGTAAGTAAAACTAATATGTGACAAATGGTTTGCTGGGGGAATTAACCATATGGCAGACAGTTATGGGGACCACCAGCATCCAGTTTATGATGTCATTCATCCGTCACTGTCATTAAAAACTGCAAGTGAGCCAGATTAGGAGATAAAAGTGTTAAACCAACTAATAATAGACACCCTCTCATAAAAGATGAACTCATCTCCCTCATCTCTATATTGGTCCCTGTTTACAAATTCAGGTCATCGCTATGTAACTTGTTATATCATTTATTCTGTGGAATAGGGAAGAAGCAGCGCAATCTGAGCTGTCAAAAAATAAACATCACATTAAAAAAATATATATATAAACTTTTGGATCGTTATGAATATTTTGAGCATCATAATCAATTATGAAGCAGAATCAATCCTTCACCTGGTAAACGGCGTTCCAGTTCCCGAGCTCATCGATTTCCCGAAACTCGGCTTCCATTGCCGCGTGTGTTCCGCGCCGCTCGATAGACGACTCCCTGACGATACAATTAGTTATAAAGTCGATGTCGAATCACATGAAAAAAATAGACTTTTAAAGTCTGCTTTAATTTTCTTACAGAACGTTTCTAGTGGTACTGTTGTGTCGCTCTTACCGGAAGCACGCTGCTCGCTCCTCCCGCAGCACGGCTCTCCGCTGTCCGTCGTGATCACGCCCCTCTTTCCTTACATTGACCAATGAAATTCCGTGAGTGGCCGTGAACTCCAGGCAAAGGCCAATCAACGCAACGTTGTGGGGCGTGGCAATCCCTGCGGCCAATCATACTACGGAGAATTACCTCTTCATTATTCTGGGCTTTGTAGTTTTTTGTAGTTCGAGGAATTTACGCATAACGCATGTCGGTAAAGAGATTTAGAAACGTGCATGAAATGAAATGGCTCGTATTTTCAACCAAAACATTGCAGTTTTAAAAGTGGAATCAATTAATAGCATATCGTTTTTCTTTGTATGCAGCATTTAACTAAGTAAATGTGATACTTTGAATATCTACATTTCAAAATTATATTTGAGATTTTGTGAATTTAGGCTTAACCCTCGTATCCCTCACTCAAAATCCGTGTAAAGCAATATTAAATATGTGTTCTGAGTTTGTCACACCACAGAAAACTGTGTAATTAACCACCCAGCCAAATTTGAATGATAAAAAACCCGCCAAGTATATAAAATAAGTTATCAAAATCTTGAAAAAAAATAAGCAGTATTCTCTGCTCTCAAACGCTGGGGGCGTGTCCGCTGTCGGTGCTGAAACCACGCCCACTCGCGTGATAATATGCATAATGTGCATTTACGTGAGGAAGGCATAGCTAGCTATCAACTGTAGGCTGTAGTAACTAACGGTAATGATAGTAACTCGCGATTGAGCGGACGAACCGCTGATGCTAATGCGCTCTTGAAGCAGCGCTGCTCTGTGATTGACATCAAAGTACCGCAAGCGGCGTCTGCTCGCTAGAGCTTTCGCGGTACTTTGATGTCATTAGTGTTAGGGGAGGGGCCATGCTCAGTGCGTCATCGAGACATGATTTTAGCCCCGCCCAAAACTCCTGAACACAAAAATGGGGGAAAACTGTTTAACGGTCGAACTCCACAATTCAGTACTACATACTAGTTCACAATCTTTGTAACGTGTTTTCAGCAATACATTTCTAACATTTATAATGTGTTTAGAAACAATTCTCTGAATTGCCTTTACTCTGACTTTAAGTGTCACGCTTATCCTCTGCGGTCAAAACAGACCGAAGACATTGAAGTGCATTAGCATGCAGGCTAGTGTTGTCCGCTTTGGCTAAACTGATTCAGTTTTGTCATGTAACAGCGATGTTACACGCGGTATAATAAGACAGACAGCCGGGAAACAAACGCGTTTAGCAGAACATTGCTCGAAATGTAATGAAGGATTCGTAAATGTTTTATAGTGGTTGATCGCATATTTGTTTGGTTAGCCTGTAAGCATGCTAAGTGAACAGGACGTAAACCTTTAACGCTATGCAAAACTGGATCAGCCAGTCCAGCCAGACCAGATCTGAGCAAATAAACAAACTGATCGTTTTATAAAAGATTTCACGAATGCTATTCAAGTTAAAATCTATATTTTTAAATCTAGTTTATATTCATTCAATCAGTATCAGAAATTAGTGGAAGGGGGCCCCTGGAATAGATTTTTAGGGGCTTTTGCACATCAAATATTAAATTTACGACAACAATGAACGTTATAGTGATTCAGTTAATTATGAATCAACCAGTTAGATATGCCAAGAATGGAATATTATGAAGTCTGTGATAAATCTATCTTTTCTACATGGCCAACATTGTTAACAGCATGTGTTAATCTCTACATTTTATGTATCATCATCATCATCGGGCCCAGATTGTGAACTGTGGGACAAGGTGGAACCTCTGGGGAGTTTTAGGTTTGTCTCCCCATGACAACGTGTCACCATGGTGACCGCGGCTCCAAGGGTGATGCCGAGCGGTGCACCTCTGATGATGAGGACGCGGAGCTCACTGAGCTTGGGCCGCTGCTGACAAATCCAGCTGAAGCAAAGAAATCAAGAGTGAGTTGTGAGAAAAGAAAATACACTACCATTTGGGGTCAGTAGGATTTTTATTTGGAGAAATGAATAATTTTATTCAGCAAAGGCACATTAAACTGTTAAAAAGTTACAGTAAAGACATTTATAAAGTTCCAAAATGTTTCTGTTACAAATAAATTCTGTTCTTTTGACCTTTCTATTCATCAAAGAATTTGTCAAATCAACTTTGCCATCACTGGAATAAGTTACATTTTATAATATATTAAAATGGAAAACAATTATTTTAATAAAAAAGTGGATTATTTTTAATCAAATAAATGCAGCCTCGCTGAGACCCCAAACTTTTAAATGGTAATGTACATATACTAAATGGAGTGAGGCAAGAATAACTAAATTTAACTAAAAGCGTTATTGGTGTTGCAGGGTGCATCAGCATTTCCTGATGAGGATGAGAACGAGGATGAAGAACAAGGTTTGCGGGTGGTTACACTGCCCATGCAGGCGCACCATGCCATGGAGAAGATGGAGGAGTTTGTACACAAGGTGACTAATGTCCTTATCCTCAACCATTCTAGAACTCCTAATGACGGAATTATTTCCAAAAATACCATGTATTTAATTAATCACAATGTTCTTGTGTAAAATGATTGTAATGTAAATGTGGCCTATTTCTAGTCTGAGATGTTTAAGCAAACTTGTACCGTTACTAGGTATGGGAAGGACGTTGGCGAGTTATTCCATACCATCTCCTCCCAGATTGGCTAAAGGATAATGATTACCTGCTGCAGGGACACCGCCCACCCATGCCGTCCTTCCGTGCCTGTTTTGGGAGCATCTTCAGGATTCACACAGAAACTGGAAACATCTGGACGCACCTGCTGGGTTTGTGCTTGTGAAATGTGACATGATAATGCACAAAAGTAAAATGCAACAAAACAAGCATCTCTTGAAATACTACACATCACTGTAGCTTCTACATGTAAACCGACTACCAGAAAAAAACAAAAAACTCCTTAACAGTTTTTAATAAACATTTCCTGTTTCCCAAGTTTTAAGTTTCCTGCTGTTCAAAGATTTGCGGTCAAATAGATTTTTTTAATGCTTTTGAAATAAGTCTCTTATGCTCACCAAGGCTGTATTTATTTGATCAAAAATACAGTAAAAACATTAATAATTTGAAATATTATTACAATTTAAAATAGTAATTTTCCACTTGAAGATATTTGAAAATATAATTTATTTCTGTGGGAAAGTTGGTTTTTCAGCAGTCATTACTCTAGTCTTGTGATCCAGTGTCTCATGATCCTTCCGAAATCAGTCTGATCATATGCTGATTTGATGCTCAAGAAACATTTCTTATTATTATCAATGTGGAAAACAGTTGTTCTGATTTATGTTATTTGGAAACCATGATCATTTTTTCTGGACTCTTTGATGAAGAGGAAGTTCAAATTAATTTGAAATAGAAATATTTTGAAACATCAAAATTCTTTACTGTCACTTTTAAACAATAGTATATGTTGTATAACACCAGTGGCTTTTGAAGAAAGACGTTTCACACCTTCTGGAATTTACCAGATAACTTGTACTTGCCAGATAAATTGTACGATATATTTGTAATATGATAATCTGATATGTGTGAATCACTGCCCTGAGGATGACGCAAAACACACCACTTAGACTTCTAATATTACTCAGACCTGTAATTATGTTACTGGTATGTCATTTTGAAGGCTAATTAAGCTATCACAATGTCTCCCTACAGGCTTAATTCTGTTCCTGTGCTTGGGCACATTGACAATGCTGCGGCCAAACGTTTCATTCATGGCGCCCGTGCAGGAGAAGGTGGTGTTTGGGATGTTCTTCCTGGGTGCAGTTCTTTGTTTGAGCTTCTCCTGGCTTTTTCACACTGTCTACTGCCACTCAGAAAAAGTCTCTAGGACATTCTCCAAGTAAGAGACACCAGTTTTTATGCTCTCTGTGTGTAGGCAGTACTAATGTTAAGTGGCATTTTATACACTGGTGGCCAAGAGTTTTTTTGTTTTTGAAATTATATGCTCCCCAAGACCGCATTTATTTAAAGGGCTCATCGGATGAACATTTTCCACAAGTTGGCATGATTTATTAGGGTCTTCATGAAATGTCTGTAACATATTTTGCTTAAAAACACTCAATGGCTGTGTAAACCACACCCTTTTTGCCATTTCAAAAACAGCTCTGCTCACACTAACCCGTTTTGGTGTATGTCTCTTTAAATGATAATGAGTTACTGCACTCCACCCCCCTTCCGGGATTTCCACTAAAAATAAAATAAATCCACTCCTCTCTTGTCTCCTCTGAGGCTGGGACTCTAAATAATGATTTGTGACCCTGGACCACAAAACCAGTCTTAAGTCACTTGGGTATATTTATTTTATGCCAAAAATAATTAGGATGTTAAGTAAAGATCATGTTCCATGAAGATATTTTGTAAATTTCCTACCGTAAATATATCAACTTAATTTTTGATTAGTAATATGCATTGCTAAGAATTCATTTGGACAACTTTAAAGGCGATTTTCTCAGTATTTTGATTTTTTTTGCACCCTCAGATTCCAGATTTTCAAATAGTTGTATCTCAGTTGTCCTATCCTAACAAACCATACATCAATGGAAAGCTTATTTATTCAGACTCCAGATGATGTATAAATCTAAATTTCATTAAACTGACCCTTAAAGGGATAGTCCACCCAAAAATTAAAATTCTGTCATCATTTACTCACCCTCAAGTAGTTCCAAACCCGTATAAATGTCTTTGTTCTGCCGAACAGAAAGGGAGATATTTTGAAGAAAGTTTGTAACCAGGCTGTTTTGGGGCACCATTGACTTCCATAGTAGGAGAAAAAAATACTATGGTAGTCAATGGTGCCCCAGAACTGCTCTGTTTCCCACATTCTTCAGAATATCTTCCTTTGTGTTCTGCAGAACAAAGACATTTATACAGGTTTGAAACTACTTGAGGGTGAGTAAATGATGACAGAATTTTCATTTTTGGGGGAACTATCCCTTTAAGGCTTGTTTTTGTGGTCCAGGGTCACATTTGTGTTTGTCTGTGTAGCCAACGACAGAACATTTAGTATGTTTTTCGCAAACTTTTTCCTTGACGTCTGACCAAGTACACCGGTGTCGCTTGCGAAAACAGCAATGGTGGCTGAGCGCAGTGGATGGAAACGTGCAGATTAATGGGCGGTAATATTATAATAAGAACCCCTTCCTACATCAGGATGGGGAGAGAAATCTGATCGGCTCATTTCCTCACATGCTTGCAGAGAAAGGCTTACAAAACCAAACTTACTGGGTTCTTGTTTTTCATGTTTTCTGAGTTGGTAGATGCAACGGACACTCAATTATAGCTCTTAAACATGGAAAAAGTCAGATTTTCATCTTTAATCAAAATGTAAAAACAGAAATATTGTGAAATATTAAAATAACTGTTTTCTATTTGAATACATTCAAAAATGTAATTTATTCCTGTGATAGTAAATTAATACTTTTTTTTCAGCAAGGATGCACTAAATTTGTCATAAGTAACAGTAAAAACATTTTTATTTTATTTTACAAAACTCCTGAAAAAATGTATCAGTTTCCACAAAAATATTAAGCAGCACAACTGTTTTCAATGCTGATAATTCTAAGAAATGTTTCTTCAACTTCAAATCAGCATATTAGAATGATTTCTGAAGGATCATGTGACACTGAAGACCGGAGTAAGGATGCTGAAAATTCAACTTTGCCATCACAGGAATAAATTACATTTCAAAATATATTAAAATAGAAAACAGTTATATTAAATTGTAATATTATTTTACTGCTGATAATTCTAAGAAATGTTTCTTCAACTTCAAATCAGCATATTAGAATGATTTCTGAAGGATCATGTGACACTGAAGACCGGAGTAAGGATGCTGAAAATTCAACTTTGCCATCACAGGAATAAATTACATTTCAAAATATATTAAAATAGAAAACAGTTATATTAAATTGTAATATTATTTTACAATATAACTGTTTTTACAGTATTTTTGATCAAATAAATGCAGCCTTTGTGAGCATAAGAGACTCCTTTCAAAAACATTAAAAAAAAATTTGACTGGCGATGTATAGACATGATTTCAGTAACTTGAGTGTATTTTTTTTATGTCCTTAGGTTGGATTACTCTGGTATTGCGTTGTTAATCATGGGCTCATTCGTTCCATGGCTGTACTACTCGTTTTACTGCTCTCCTCAGCCGCGGTTCATCTATCTCTCTGTTGTATGTGTGCTGGGTGTTGCTGCTATCATTGTGGCCCAGTGGGACAGATTCGCCACCCCTCGGCACCGATCCACACGTGCAGGTAATGCGCTCACCTGCTTCTCTAAATGTTCCATCTGCTTGATTGATTTCAGATGTTGCTTAGAACATTTTTCCTCGTACTTAGGTGTTTTCATGGGCCTTGGTCTGAGTGGACTCATTCCCACAATGCATTTTACCATCGCAGAGGGTTTTGTGAAGGCAACGACAGTGGGTCAGATGGGCTGGTTCTATCTGATGGGTGCCATGTACATTAGTGGAGCATCACTTTATGCAGCACGGATACCTGAACGTTACTTCCCTGGCAAATGTGACATCTGGGTAAGACTCAAGGGAATCTTTGTTGCATGTAATATTGTAAAGCGGCCTAATAACATAATGTTCATACAAGTATCCACCTTATTTTTTAACATAAGAGCGGGTGCATCCATTATTGAATTGAATGTGCAAGGATTTCGGTATCATCTGTTTACAGTTATTTTAGCAGTACAAAACAGTCTGTTATGCTGCTTGATGCTGATGATATTGATTTAATTTTTTATCATAATCATAAATGCAAATTTACGTTTATTGCACTTTATTTTCCTAGTTATTTATCTATAGATGCTAATGAAATGGAAGTCTCGCGTTGATTGAAAATAGCTTCCTTTTGCATTGCAAAAACAGTTGGATGCTTAAAACTTATCTGTTTTACTTTCTCAGTTTCAGTCTCATCAGATATTCCATGTGCTGGTTGTCGCGGCGGCATTTGTCCATTTTTATGGGATCTCAAACCTGCAGGAGTTCCGCTATGGCCTGGAAGGTGGCTGCACAGATGACACTCTGCTGTAAAAAAAAAAAAAAAATCACTTGAACTTTGGCTAGTGCCTGCTCACTTCACAATGAACCTGGATCCCACACAATGCAGATTTAAAGATTTTTATTATCTCTTGAAGGATTTTAACATGTATTTAAATAAGGTGTTTATTTGTTAAGATGCTTAAAAGTCTTGATAAATGTGGTAGTCTTGTGTTTATATTGTTCTTTGCTATTTCAGTGCAGAACAGAATTTGTTGTAAATCACTGGAATGAGTCATAAAGCATTACAGAGGTCTTAAGAGACTACCTCCTCCAGCGCTTTTTCTTCTGACTGTTTTCTGGTCTACTGGTTAGTGGTCCTGTATTTTAAGAGTTGTAGGGAAAACACATAGAACATGCTTAGGTCTCAGTTTTCTCAAACATGTCTGCATGATCATTCATTAACTTTTGATCTGAAATGCTTGGCCCATAGCTTCAGCAGTGGGATTCAAGTTGGGAAAAATTTTATCTTTTGTTTGAGTGAATCAGGGTTTCAGTCAAAATACTTGCACTGGTTTTAGAAGTCAAAATATTTAAAAAGAGCAAAATAAAGATGAAACAGCTAGAATTGCTTGCTTCATTAATAGTGTTTTTTCTTTGTTTGTTTGTTTACTTTTTGGTATGTGTGTGTGTGTATATATATATTAGTAAAATTATATTAAAGTTTTAATATTTTAGTTTTAATTTATTTTTATAGTTTAATTTTAATGTAAAATTTAGTAATGTTATGTGCTTTTGTCCTTTTTATTAGTTTTGTTTATATTTATATAATTTATTTGAATTTCCAAAAAAAAGGTATTTTAGTATTTCAACTTTAACTGATTTCAGTTAGTTGCCAAGGTAACGTTTAAGATTTTCCTCTAATATTTATATTTTATTTCAATGACTGAAAATGATATTTAATTGTTTTAGTTTTATTTAACAATAACAACACTAGAAGAATAAAAACTACAACTACAACCTCTTCGAGGGCTAATAAATTGCTAAAGACTACAACTTTTCAAGCACTTAAATTCACACCCTTGTGATAGTCCTAGTTTAGTTGTAGATATTTAGCAACTTTTTAACTACTTAAAACAACGCACTTTTCAGAACACAGTTCTTGCGGCGTTGTTTTATGAAACCGTATATATTTTAATGTATTTATCATAAAAAATAGTGTTTTTAATGATTAAAATGAAGGTCAGTATCTGATTTGAGATGCATTAAGCAAACGCGCGAGCACGGGCTACAGTGCGCGCGCGCGCTGGTGACGTCGCAGTGTTTTGCTGGGGATGCGCGCACACGTGAGCACTGTTCTTTTCGTCGCTGGAGATTCAAGTTGGGAAAAATTTTATCTTTTGTTTGAGTGAATCAGGGTTTCAGTCAAAATACTTGCACTGGTTTTAGAAGTCAAAATATTTAAAAAGAGCAAAATAAAGATGAAACAGCTAGAATTGCTTGCTTCATTAATAGTGTTTTTTGTTTGTTTGTTTGTTTGTTTACTTTTTGGTATGTGTGTGTGTGTGTATATATATATTAGTAAAATTATATTAAAGTTTTAATATTTTAGTTTTAATTTATTTTTATAGTTTAATTTTAATGTAAAATTTAGTAATGTTATGTGCTTTTGTCCTTTTTATTAGTTTTGTTTATATTTATATAATTTATTTAAATTTCCAAAAAAAAGGTATTTTAGTATTTCAACTTTAACTGATTTCAGTTAGTTGCCAAGGTAACGTTTAAGATTTTCCTCTAATAATATTTTATTTCAATGACTGAAAATGATATTTAATTGTTTTAGTTTTATTTAACAATAACAACACTAGAAGAATAAAAACTACAACTACAACCTCTTCGAGGGCTAATAAATTGCTAAAGACTACAACTTTTCAAGCACTTAAATTCACACCCTTGTGATAGTCCTAGTTTAGTTGTAGATATTTAGCAACTTTTTAACTACTTAAAACAACGCACTTTTCAGAACACAGTTCTTGCGGCGTTGTTTTATGAAACCGTATATATTTTAATGTATTTATCATAAAAAATAGTGTTTTTAATGATTAAAATGAAGGTCAGAATCTGATTTGAGATGCATTAAGCAAACGCGCGAGCACGGGCTACAGTGCGCGCGCGCGCTGGTGACGTCGCAGTGTTTTGCTGGGGATGCGCGCACACGTGAGCACTGTTCTTTTCGTCGCTGGAGTAAAATTAATTCAGTTCACACCCGCGAGGGTCTCCCTGTGAGGGGTGCCAGCAGCTGTCCAAATAGACCGCCGTGTGCTGTCATCCAGTCCTGGTCCGTTCTGCTCTGCTGTGGATCCGCTGTACGCTGTGAGTTCAAATGGAGATGTTTATGTGTGGGTTAGCATACCATTTCAGTTAGCTTTAGCATGTAGCCTCATCTCAGCTCTGTGAGGCTTAAACTCTCACCTGATTTACAGCAACACGTTCAGGTGAAGTTATACTAATAAAATAATATTAAATACGAAGAAATGATTCCTGTTTCTCGTATATAGTAATACACAGGTGTAGTGCCCATCACAGCCTACAGGTAGACCTATTCTAAAACATTATTTTTTATGTGTCTATATTATCGCGTTATTAAATTTGAGAAAAAAAGTCTCTTTCTTTTTAAGAAGCCACTGAAAAAGTTGTTATTTCCAAAAGGATGCGCAATGAGCTGTTTCATTGAGAATCCATAATTTAATAATTTCACTGTTTATTGTTTTTTCATTTGTCTTGTTGAATTTCTTCCTGTGATTTCTTTGGAAGATCTTTTTGGTTAATACTTTTAAAAGTAACATTCTCAACAAATGGCAATGCACAGCGATCAGCTTTTAAGCTACAATACAGATAAAGACATAACGTTAGACAAATATGGTCTGATATTGAAGGAATAGTCCAACCGAAAATGAAATTTCTGTTATCATTTACTTGACCTCATATCGTTTAAAACCCATATGACCTTCTTTCTTCTGTTGAACATAAAAGTATATGTTTTGGAGAATATTGGTAACCAAACTGTTTCGATTCCCATTGGTTTTCATTCATGGACAAAAAATACAATGGAAGTCTAAGGGAACCAAAACTTAAAACTCAAACTCAAAATATCCTCTTTTATGTGCCACTGAAGAAAGAATATTATATGGGTTTGAATTTTGTGTGTACTCTGGATCAGCTGTGCTGGTCACTGATTAATTGTGTCCTACAGAAATCATCATCCTGCAGTGCCTGAGGTTTTGTCACTCCACCCCACCTCCTGTCGTCATGGCGCCCAAGGACATCATGACCAATTCGCATGCCAAATCCATCTTGAATGCCATGAACGCCCTGAGAAAAAGCAACACGCTGTGCGATATCACTCTGAGGGTGGAGGGCACAGATTTCCCAGCCCACCGCATCGTGTTGGCGGCCTGCAGTGATTATTTCTGTGCCATGTTCACCAGTGAGGTAACAAATACCTCCTATATGCACACTCATCACTCACATGTTACAATGTGGTCTCAACTGGAGCAGTCTGTTCACCAGTTATGTGTCTAAAAATGCTCTCATTGTATTAAAAAAAAAATGTATGGGGTCTTGACATGCTAGTTAGCGGGCAAGCTTCAACGTGTTGAGCTGTAGAGCTTGTTCAGAGTTAAACTTAAAATCTTGCTCATGATCGTGCTTCTCCTCATCATTTCCTGTCCTCTCTTCTAATCCATATCAATAAAATTGGCACAAAGGTTAAAAAAGAACTTTGTTGCAGTTCTGCTCCTTCACAGTAGGAGGTGCAGGCAGTCTCTTTTATTCTCAGACATGCTGAAGTTACTAGAGTGAACACAGCACTTAATTATATAATTTCCGGTATTCTCTTTTGAATAGTCAGACAATCCAAAGAAAGCATCATTAAAACAAAAAGAGAAGTCACTTACAAAATAAGATTGAATAAACACTAAAACGTCTGACCAAAAGTGTTCTGTGTAGAAGCATTGCCAAAACGAATGAAGTCTTCAGAAGAATGACAAAAACAGCAACTCACTTCAATGTCTGACTTATATTTCCTAAGAAATACTTTAGTTGGGTAACGTTTGTGAATCAACTTAAATGTTATTTCTTTTACTTTATTGGTAAGCAGATATCTATGAGGCAAGGTCCATACTTTCTCCCAAGGTATATTATCCACAATGCTATTCCAATAAGGTATTATGTAAGGAATTGTTGTTTTCTCTCTCTGAAAACTAATGTTATAGTTATTTTTTTGTTGATCTGTAGAAAAGCAAACACTTCTGATCATTGTGTTGGTTAAGTTCAGAGTGTTAAGTACATGGCCATGGAAGTGTAGTACCTTGCCTCTGAAAAGACACACCAGAGGGAATGGCATTGAAAACAACAGCATATTCATCAGCAGATACAGGAATATTATATTTCTGTAAGAAATCCGAATAGTTGTAAAGTCTGCCTTGTGAATTAAAAAGCTGTCCAACTAAAAGAAGATGGTTTTCGAACCAGTTGTCAAAGAAAAGTGATTTATTCTTGTAAAGAATATCCTTATTGTTCCATAAATAATATCTGTGCGGAGAAAAGTTGTGTTTGTATATTAAGGACCAGGCCAAGAGCATCTGCTTATGGAAATTAGAAAGTTTGATAGGGATTTTTAAAACATTATAATTACAACGTAATAGGAAATTCAGGCCACCAACTTTAGAGAAAATAAATTCCAAAGTGAGGAGGGATTTTAAAGGAAATTCTTAAGCCAATTAATTTTAAAAGTATTATTTAAGGTAGTAAAATGTACAAAATTCAGTCCCCCCTGTGTTGTTGGGTTAATTATTACAGATGTCCTAATATAGTGAGTTTTATTTTTCCGAACAAAATTGTTTAACATGCTATCAATTCTTTTTAATGTTCCTTTATCAACCTCCAAGGAAAGAGCAGCATAAGTCAGTCGAGACAATCCTTCGGCTTTAGAGAGTAAAATTCTTCCTCTTATTGATAAATCTCTCTGCAGCCACGAGTTAACTTTTCTTTGGGTTTTCACTATTAGAGGGTCGAAATTTAGATTACATCTTGCTTTTTGGTCTTTATTAATTAAAATTCCTAAGTATGTAACTTGATCTTTCACAGGAATGTTACATATAGAGGGAAGATCACAGCGTTTGATTGACTTTAACTCACATATGTTGATATTCAGGCAGAGACCTGAAGCTCTGGAAAAGGACTCAATCAAACTCAAAACTAAAGGGATTTGGGAGGCGTCATTCAGAAATAAAGTAGTGTCGTCAGCTAGCTGGCTAATAATAATTTGTCTATTGTCAATTGTGATACCTTGTAAATTATTAGTGGAAATATGCAGAGCTAAGAACTGAGAGGCAAGTAAGAATAGATATGGAGATATAGGTGGGGATGCGCGCACACGTGAGCACTGTTCTTTTCGTCGCTGGAGTAAAATTAATTCAGTTCACACCCGCGAGGGTCTCCCTGTGAGGGGTGCCAGCAGCTGTCCAAATAGACCGCCGTGTGCTGTCATCCAGTCCTGGTCCGTTCTGCTCTGCTGTGGATCCGCTGTACGCTGTGAGTTCAAATGGAGATGTTTATGTGTGGGTTAGCATACCATTTCAGTTAGCTTTAGCATGTAGCCTCATCTCAGCTCTGTGAGGCTTAAACTCTCACCTGATTTACAGCAACACGTTCAGGTGAAGTTATACTAATAAAATAATATTAAATACGAAGAAATGATTCCTGTTTCTCGTATATAGTAATACACAGGTGTAGTGCCCATCACAGCCTACAGGTAGACCTATTCTAAAACATTATTTTTTATGTGTCTATATTATCGCGTTATTAAATTTGAGAAAAAAAGTCTCTTTCTTTTTAAGAAGCCACTGAAAAAGTTGTTATTTCCAAAAGGATGCGCAATGAGCTGTTTCATTGAGAATCCATAATTTAATAATTTCACTGTTTATTGTTTTTTCATTTGTCTTGTTGAATTTCTTCCTGTGATTTCTTTGGAAGATCTTTTTGGTTAATACTTTTAAAAGTAACATTCTCAACAAATGGCAATGCACAGCGATCAGCTTTTAAGCTACAATACAGATAAAGACATAACGTTAGACAAATATGGTCTGATATTGAAGGAATAGTCCAACCGAAAATGAAATTTCTGTTATCATTTACTTGACCTCATATCGTTTAAAACCCATATGACCTTCTTTCTTCTGTTGAACATAAAAGTATATGTTTTGGAGAATATTGGTAACCAAACTGTTTCGATTCCCATTGGTTTTCATTCGTGGACAAAAAATACAATGGAAGTCTAAGGGAACCAAAACTTAAAACTCAAACTCAAAATATCCTCTTTTATGTGCCACTGAAGAAAGAATATTATATGGGTTTGAATTTTGTGTGTACTCTGGATCAGCTGTGCTGGTCACTGATTAATTGTGTCCTACAGAAATCATCATCCTGCAGTGCCTGAGGTTTTGTCACTCCACCCCACCTCCTGTCGTCATGGCGCCCAAGGACATCATGACCAATTCGCATGCCAAATCCATCTTGAATGCCATGAACGCCCTGAGAAAAAGCAACACGCTGTGCGACATCACTCTGAGGGTGGAGGGCACAGATTTTCCGGCCCACCGCATTGTGTTGGCGGCCTGCAGTGATTATTTCTGTGCCATGTTCACCAGTGAGGTAACAAATACCTCCTATATGCACACTCATCACTCACATGTTACAATGTGGTCTCAACTGGAGCAGTCTGTTCACCAGTTATGTGTCTAAAAAGAGAGTAAAATTCTTCCTCTTATTGATAAATCTCTCTGCAGCCACAAGTTAAGTTTTCTTTGGGTTTTCACTATTAGAGGGTTCACATTTAAATTACATCTTGTTTTTTGGTCTTTATTAATTAAAATTCCTAAGTATGTAACTTGATCTTTCACAGGAATGTTACATATAGAGGGAAGATCACAGCGTTTGATTGACATTAACTCACATTTGTTGATATTCAGGCAGAGACCTGAAGCTCTGGAAAAGGACTCAATCAAACTCAAAACTAAAGGGATTTGGGAGGCGTCATTCAGAAATAAAGTAGTGTCGTCAGCTAGCTGGCTAATAATAATTTGTCTATTGTCAATTGTGATACCTTGTAAATTATTAGTGGAAATATGCAGAGCTAAGAACCGAAAGGCAAGTAAGAATAGATATGGAGATATAGGGAAGCCTTGTCTTACGCCACGTGACAAATCGAATCTTGGTGAGGTTCCGAATTTTAACTTAATAACACTATTATTATTTCTGTATAAGGTCCTGATGGCTTTACAGAAATCATCTCCAAACCCAAATTTGAGTGAACACAACACGTGCTGTCAAGCTAGATGCAAACTAATTGATAAATGTTGTCGCTCATCTCTTATGGTACAATGTAAGAAAAATAGTGTTATAGGAATATATATTAAATGATGATAACAGTAGTGGTTTTTAGATTCATAATAATACACTTTTCAAATCTGAACAGATTTGAAACAATATAAAAACAATGTGAGTTCTTAAAATATCAAACATGTCCACCTGTCCACCGAATTCATAGTCTAAGCTAAAAAATCAGAGTCTGTAACCATCATACACTACACAGTTTTCTATGAAATCTGTCAACTCAAATCTGCAGACTGACTCTGACTTTCGGCAACTAGTGTCAACTTCTCCAGACTGTAGTGTCTTTAGAAGTCGTGTAGTGTATTCCAGGCTTTGCACGTTTTATTCATCATGATAGTTCTCACAACTGAACATTTTATACATTTTAAAACCTAAATGCAATTAGCAAAAGTTTAACGCTAAACATGGGCTCTAAACAAACTACACCACACAAATGACTTCAACATCACTATTAAGCTTCTGACAACTCTTGTAGTCTTTATAGAAACATTGGACCCAATTTATATTAAGTGTGCTTAACTATTATACTATGTACTTGCTTTTAAATGAATCATTTGATACAGTCCACTTATTGTGTACATACTTGTTTTACATTATACTTCTATTTGAAAATACTATCCTGTAATTACATCTGTAATTAAGTTCTGTAGTTACATCTTTAATTACACTGTTTGACCCTACCTCTACCCCTTAAACCTAACCATACCACCAAACCTGCCCCTAACTTTACTCGTATCCACCCTCAATAGCAGCAAAAGTGTTTTGCAGTTCAACATGAACACAATAGGTACATTGTACCTAACAATTCATTGTTTTAAGTTAAAAAAAGTGGGACAGAAACATTTTCCATGAAAGTTTGATTTAGAATAGTTTGCAAAAGTGTGGTCATAAACACACTTTAAATGACTGTAAAAGACTAGACTGTGAAAGCAGACTAGTGAGTAGATGAGTTTTTTCGTTCAGCGTAACGACGTTTAATCTTTCCATTCATTTAGCCACTTGTTAGCAACTATATTTTTCAAGACAAATAAAGGCTTTAAAACATCCCAAGGAGGTATTACTGCTGTGTTTTATGGGAGCTGAATAAAATGTGGAAAATATCCTGAGCATGTATTAACCGTCCACAAACCTTATTTCACGCATTTATCCACACACCCAAACTTTAGGACGATGGAACCAGAAGTGCTAAAATGTTAACTCGCTTCTGGGTTTTGGCCTACAAAAATATGTCATCCCTGCAGCCGTCAGCCAGCTGGCTAATAATAATTTGTCTATTGTCAATTGTGATACCTTGTAAATTATTAGTGGAAATATGCAGAGCTAAGAACCGAAAGGCAAGTAAGAATAGATATGGAGATATAGGGAAGCCTTGTCTTACGCCACGTGACAAATCGAATCTTGGTGAGGTTCCGAATTTTAACTTAATAACACTATTATTATTTCTGTATAAGGTCCTGATGGCTTTACAGAAATCATCTCCAAACCCAAATTTGAGTGAACACAACACGTGCTGTCAAGCTAGATGCAAACTAATTGATAAATGTTGTCGCTCATCTCTTATGGTACAATGTAAGAAAAATAGTGTTATAGGAATATATATTAAATGATGATAACAGTAGTGGTTTTTAGATTAATAGATTATTGCAGAACTAAGCTCTGTGACCATCAAAAGTTTATTATTCCTAAAACTATAATACACTACATGACTTTTCAAATCTGAACAGATTTGAAACAATATAAAAACAATGTGAGTTCTTAAAATATCAAACATGTCCACCGACTGGATGGATTCATAGTCTAAGCTAAAAAATCAGTGCCTGTAACCATTATACACTACACAGTTTTCTATGAAATCTGTCAACTCAAATCTGCAGACTGACTCTGACTTTCGGCAACTAGTGTCAACTTCTCCAGACTGTAGTGTCTTTAGAAGTCGTGTAGTGTATTCCAGGCTTTGCACGTTTTATTCATCATGATAGTTCTCACAACTGAACATTTTATACATTTTAAAACCTAAATGCAATTAGCAAAAGTTTAACGCTAAACATGGGCTCTAAACAAACTACACCACACAAATGACTTCAACATCACTATTAAGCTTCTGACAACTCTTGTAGTCTTTATAGAAACATTGGACCCAATTTATATTAAGTGTGCTTAACTATTATACTATGTACTTGCTTTTAAATGAATCATTTGATACAGTCCACTTATTGTGTACATACTTGTTTTTACATTATACTTCTATTTGAAAATACTATCCTGTAATTACATCTGTAATTAAGTTCTGTAGTTACATCTTTAATTACACTGTTTGACCCTACCTCTACCCCTTAAACCTAACCATACCACCAAACCTGCCCCTAACTTTACTCGTATCCACCCTCAATAGCAGCAAAAGTGTTTTGCAGTTCAACATGAACACAATAGGTACATTGTACCTAACAATTCATTGTTTTAAGTTAAAAAAAGTGGGACAGAAACATTTTCCATGAAAGTTTGATTTAGAATAGTTTGCAAAAGTGTGGTCATAAACACACTTTAAACGACTGTAAAAGACTAGACTGTGAAAGCAGACTAGTGAGTAGATGAGTTTTTTTGTTCAGCGTAACGACGTTTAATCTTTCCATTCATTTAGCCACTTGTTAGCAACTATATTTTTCAAGACAAATAAAGGCTTTAAAACATCCCAAGGAGGTATTACTGCTGTGTTTTATGGGAGCTGAATAAAATGTGGAAAATATCCTGAGCATGTATTAACCGTCCACAAACCTTATTTCACGCATTTATCCACACACCCAAACTTTAGGACGATGGAACCAGAAGTGCTAAAATGTTAACTCGCTTCTGGGTTTTGGCCTACAAAAATATGTCATCCCTGCAGCACATGACAATATTACAGCTGTGGTGTTGGGCAGAAATATTCATTTGTTGTCCACATTGCTTACTTCTGTTCCACTTTGTTATCACTGCTGTGACTTTTATTTTGTACTCTTAATCTGAAATTAAAGTTCCAGAATGCTGGCATGTGTCTCATGGGTCAGTTTTTTTTGTTGCCAAGATAAGGGGGAAAAATATTTATTTTACCGTGTCATCATTTTCTTGTTGCTCTATAGCTTGCTGAAAAAGGGAAGTCCTTTGTGGACATTCAGGGCCTCACAGCATCCACCATGGAGATCCTGTTGGATTTTGTTTACACAGAGACGGTGCTGGTTACCGTAGAAAATGTTCAGGAGCTGCTGCCCGCTGCCTGTCTCTTGCAGCTTAAAGGTACAAACACACAAACCAGCTCAGCTCACATTGTTGTTTCTTTGTTGTGGTATTCTAATATTACCAAACATTTATACATTTCTATATACACTCAAAAGTAAATAAGATCAGCACAATTCAAGATTAATTTATCTGAATAAAGCACATGCTGAAACCATTTTTTACCTGTGCTGTATATGATACATTAATTCTGGCTTATTTCACATGTGGCATTTAAAAAAAAACTGCATAATGTGATTTTTTTTTTTGTTTCTTTTATAAGGAAATGACAACCAAGTTTTCGAGTGCTTAAGTATTGCACTGCTTAATGTTTTTTTCTAGTAATGTGATACTTTTTTTTTCAAGATTCATTGATGAATAGAATGGTCGAAGAACAGCATTTAAATGAAATAGATTTTTTTTTTGTAACAATGTAAAAATATTTACTCTTTTAAACAATTTAGCGAGTCCTTGCTGAATAATTAATTTATTTTTTAAAAGAAAAACCTTACTGAAATCTTTTGAATTTAATTGTATCTCCTTCTCCAAATACATCCAATTTAGCTTAAAGCTGCCTCTCTGTAGATGTGTGGGATAAAAAGAAAATGAAACAAACATTTTTAATCAGAAATTGGAAAAATATTAAAATGTATTAAAAATAATTTAATACAAAAATCACATGAATCACATTCAGTGACTTGCCTTTGAAATATGAAGTGATGTGGAGCCAGTCATGCCCACTTCTCAGGATTAGTGTTTCACTTAATAATTGTGTGTCTCTTATTATGTATACAATATAATTATGTAACCACTGTCCAACTTTGAGATTGGAAGTGGAAGAAAAAGCTGTATATGGTTATAAAAAGACTTGCATTGCTTTTAGCCTTTTAAGGAACACTGTGTCCTTGGAATCAAAATGGAAAACACATCCCAGATCCTTTTAAGATCAGGCACTTCTACCAAATTGAGAGCGAATTGACAAGGAGAGCAATTGTACATTGTCTGAAATAGGAGAAACTTTTCAAACATCAGCAGAATCCCAGCAGAAAGGTTGTGACAAAAAAACCCTGTGCACTTCATCCCGGAAGTAAAACATTTGTTTGGCACAAACAAAATGTAGCTTGACACCTAGGGTAACACCTTCCCTTCTGTCAAGAATGACTGGGGCAGTATCAGGCTTCTGGGTTACTTTGAGCAGAAGGAAATGCAAGTTGCAAGAGCAATATAACTAGCCAAATCCCTCAGGCGAATCCGTTCTAGTCAGAGATCAGCGTTAAAGCGAAGACTTGTTTCCCAGCATACTAAATTACCAACTGCGAAAAAAAGACTGTTCTTGAATCAAAGCAGGCTTTTCTGTCACATAATATATCTGCAATATAAATCATTGAATTTGCTTTTTCATATCTACTTAATGCATTTTCTTGATTTGCTAGTATGCCTGCTGTGGATTTAGATGTAATTCTGCTGTATTTAATGCAGATAAACCATTCTGATGTTATTTGTGTGTTTGTTCTCCACAGGTGTGAAGAGAGCTTGCTGTGATTTTCTTAATAGTCAGTTGGATCCATCAAACTGTCTGGGAATCAGAGACTTTGCAGAAACGCACAACTGTCTGGACTTGATGCAGGCAGCTGAACTGTTCTCACAGAAACACTTTGCTGAGGTGGTGCAACAGGAAGAGTTTATGCTGCTCAGTCAGAGTGAGGTGGAAAAACTTATCAAGTGTGATGAGATCCAGGTGGGATTGTCTGCATTGACCTTCTCTGCTCTCTCACGAGTCTATGCCTTCAAGTGCACCTGGGAAACTCGCACCTCTGAGTCGGGCATTCGTTATTGCAACATTCAAGTCAGAAACATAACACAGAAGTAGTCGAAACAACAAAATTACTAGATTTTAAGCCCAAATTTCTTCATCTGAATTCAAAATGATGAAAATGATTCATTTCTGTAACTTATTTATACATGGTTTCAAAACAAAACGTTAATTTTGTATTCTGTTAACCGTTCCATTATCACACCTTTAAAATGATTGAAATGCAGCCTGTAAAATTAAAATAACTAGCAAAATCATTCATTTCCATTCACTACAGATATGCTTTCTGCTCACTTGGCTCTATAGAATATAGATATATAATATTATCTTCTGTATCATCTAGAATTCAGAGTTTTTCACTTTCTAAAAATCATTTTCATGTGCTCGGAACATATAATCATGAAACTTTCCACTCTCTACTTAAATGGCACAAGTGATACAAAACATTATTATAGAATATACTCAATAGTTTACACACCTACTGGTCCGAGTTAGACATTAGTCGGCAAAGTTTGCACATAGGAACCAGTTCAGGCTGGGTTTGAGCAACATATTTGGCCACAAGTTTGAAATGGTATTTCTTTTGTGTTTTTGATACTTTTAGCCACTTTCAGTAATGAAGAAAATGCAAAAAAACACAAGTGCAGACTTGTAACCCTGCTTTTTTGTCTGGTTTTATACACATGGACTTTCTCAAACAAAGACATCTGCCTTTTGTATTGCTACATTCCTGTCTCTCACCACCGTCCATTTATTCTGAAGGTGTAATTACAGCGTTTGGACAAATTTATGGTTACTTGGGGAAGTCGCAGATTTCAAACCATGAAAATTAGAAGCAACAGATAAAGTTACTTTTGCTACAGGGGTTTGTGTCTGAACAAATCTGTGTGTTATGTGTGTAGGTTGACTCAGAGGAGCCTGTGTTCGAGGCAGTTCTGAACTGGGTGAAGCACAAAAGAAAAGAGAGAGAGCCGTATCTGCCCGATCTGCTACTGTCTGGGAATCAGAGACTTTGCAGAAACGCACAACTGTCTGGACTTGATGCAGGCAGCTGAACTGTTCTCACAGAAACACGTTGCTGAGGTGGTGCAACAGGAAGAGTTTATGCTGCTCAGTCAGAGTGAGGTGGAAAAACTTATCAAGTGTGATGAGATCCAGGTGGGATTGTCTGCATTGACCTTCTCTGCTCTCTCACGAGTCTATGCCTTCAAGTGCACCTGGGAAACTCGCACCTCTGAGTCGGGCATTCGTTATTGCAACATTCAAGTCAGAAACATAACACAGAAGTAGTCGAAACAACAAAATTACTAGATTTTAAGCCCAAATTTCTTCATCTGAATTCAAAATGATGAAAATGATTCATTTCTGTAACTTATTTATACATGGTTTCAAAACAAAACGTTAACTTCACTTGTATTCTGTTAACCGTTCCATTATCACACCTTTAAAATGATTGAAATGCAGCCTGTAAAATTAAAATAACTAGCAAAATCATTCATTTCCATTCACTACAGATATGCTTTCTGCTCACTTGGCTCTATAGAATATAGATATATAATATTATCTTCTGTATCATCTAGAATTCAGAGTTTTTCACTTTCTAAAAATCATTTTCATGTGCTCGGAACATATAATCATGAAACTTTCCACTCTCTACTTAAATGGCACAAGTGATACAAAACATTATTATAGAATATACTCAATAGTTTACACACCTACTGGTCCGAGTTAGACATTAGTCGGCAAAGTTTGCACATAGGAACCAGTTCAGGCTGGGTTTGAGCAACATATTTGGCCACAAGTTTGAAATGGTATTTCTTTTGTGTTTTTGAGACTTCTAGCCACTTTCCGTAATGAAGAAAGTAAATACAGAAGTGCAGACCTGTAACACTGCTTTTTTTATCTTGTTTTATACACATGGGCTTTCTCAAACAAAAACATCTGCCTTTTGTGTTGTTAAATTCCTGTCTCTCACCACCGTCCATTTATTCTGAAGGTGTAATTACAGCGTTTGGACAAATTTATGGTTACTTGGGGAAGTCGCAGATTTCAAACCATGAAAATTAGAAGCAACAGATAAAGTTACTTTTGCTACAGGGGTTTGTGTCTGAACAAATCTGTGTGTTATGTGTGTAGGTTGACTCAGAGGAGCCTGTGTTCGAGGCAGTTCTGAACTGGGTGAAGCACAAAAGAAAAGAGAGAGAGCCGTATCTGCCCGATCTGCTGGAGTATGTGCGCATGCCCCTGCTCACCCCACGATACATCACTGATGTCATTGACATAGAGGTCAGATTCTGCTAATCAAATACATGCTGTCTGTATGAATGTACAGGATGCTGCATTTCGAACCAAAGAATTTTCATGTTCATGGGGTCAACGTCCCAACCAATGTGTTTATTTTGTGTGCATTATTTCATGATATTTGTACATTTGTATTGAGTGTTGCGTCTACGTTTTAGCCATTGATACACTGCAGTCTGCCATGTCGAGATTTGGTGGACGAAGCAAAGAAGTTTCACCTTCGGCCAGAGTTACGCAGCGAGATGCAGAGTCCTCGAACCCAAGCAAGACTCGGTCTGATGCCTCTGTGTGTTTTCAGTATTTAGGCCTGAAATCCTTCAGTCTAATTGATTCTCAGTATATATAAATCATTATGTCAGTTCACTCTTTCGCTGAATTAGTTTTGCATGTTTTAACATGTTCGTGATCTACTTGTGAAGCCTCGTACAACTGTTTTTTGACACTGGATTGGGTTTTAGGTGCCAAAGAGGTTCTCTTGGTAATTGGAGGATTTGGCAGCCAACAATCACCCATTGACGTTGTTGAGAAGTATGATCCCAAAACCAGAGAGTGGAGCTTTCTTCCTGTAAGTTATGTTGTCCATTCATTTAAAAGCATGTCAGTGTCTTTCTGTAGTATTTTTTTTTACATGTTAGTGTTATAAAGTGTAATGCTGCATGAATTTTGAAGGTAATTTGACCAGCAGGAGGTGGTTTTATTTCTCTCAAAATGTATTTATGTACCAGAACATTGCAAGGAAACGGCGCTACGTTGCCACTGTTGCCCTGAATGATCGTGTCTATGTTATCGGTGGGTACGATGGCCGATCACGGTTGAGTTCAGTCGAGTGTTTGGACTACACAGCAGATGAAGATGGAGTCTGGTACTCTGTCGCCACAATGAATGTACGCCGAGGCCTTGCAGGAGCTACAACCCTCGGAGGTACCTGTTCTGTATGATGACATGATGCTTGTTTTCACACATTTGTTGAGTTCTTGTAGGTTCTTTTGGATTCTGGGTCAAGGTGGGTTGCATTTTTGAAGACGTTCAGGCACATGAGCATTGAATGAAACAGTACAGTTCACATAAGACTGAAACTGAATCTGCCAACCAAACAAGTTCAGTGAGTCTGAATTATGTGGGTTTAGTGGATGTACAGCTGGATGATTTTCTCTAAACAATGTTCTTAGGCTACATTGCCTGAAGCGCTTCTCTTTTGCAAGTCAGTTGAGTAAACCAGCTTTGTGTCAATCAAAATGGTGGTATTTTCAGAACTAGATTTTTTTTCCTTTCAGATATGATCTACGTTGCGGGTGGATTTGATGGTAGTAGACGTCACACCAGCATGGAGCGTTATGATCCCAATATTGACCAGTGGAGCATGCTGGGAGATATGCAGACTGCGAGGGAGGGAGCAGGACTTGTTGTAGCCAGTGGACTCATTTACTGTTTGGGTAATGTTTTGTTTGTTGTAGAAGGTAAATGAATATGAGTCAATGTCTGTGGTGCTTTCTTTTGGTCTTCTTGTGCTGAGAATCCAGAAATACACTTGCTCATAACTAGCATTCATAATGGCAAAACTCAGAAGGCTTGGCACAGACATGTTCAGATAGACATATAGCTTTTCAGACATGGTAAACATTGTGTTGTGTTGTGAATGCAGGTGGTTATGATGGTCTGAACATCCTGAATTCTGTAGAGCGGTATGACCCTCACACGGGACATTGGACCAGTGTCACTCCCATGGCCAACAAACGCTCAGGTACACTCGCATGAGAATCCTTTTTAACATGCTAACACATATTATAATATTCTATACACTACCGTTCAAACGTTTGGGGTCAGTAAGATTGAAGTTTTTGAAATTAGTCTCTTATGCTTACAAAGACTGCAGTTATTTGATCAAAAACAAAGTTCATGTAAATTTAAGCCTTTTAATCTTAAATTAGTCTGAGATCAAACAATAATTTGACTGCTGCTACATACCGTGGCTGCTTTCATCTACAGGGGCTGGTGTGGCTTTGCTGAATGATCACATATATGTTGTCGGAGGGTTTGACGGCACGGCCCACCTGTCTTCCGTAGAGGTGTACAACATCCGCACAGACTATTGGACCTCTGTGGCCAATATGACCACGCCACGCTGCTATGTAGGAGCCACGGTCCTGAGGGGCCGCCTTTATGCCATTGCAGGGTAAGATGTCAAAATAGCATGGTAGACTCTTCTCTGTTGGGTCTTTGTTACCACAAGAAAATAAATGAATGACTTAATCTTCTGTTATGATATTGCATCTCTGTTCTTTCTGCAGATACGATGGGAACTCACTGCTCAGCAGTATTGAATGTTATGACCCTGTGATTGACAGCTGGGAGGTGGTGACTTCAATGGCAACACAACGCTGTGATGCAGGAGTTTGTGTGCTCAGAGAAAAATGAGAAGATAATCGATTCTGACATAGAGGCACTTTTTAAATTTGGACGCTGGAATCTGTGCTTCACTGATCAGCGGAGCATCAGATACCATTACCAGCCTAATGACTCGTCCCCCTTTTTGGATTTAAATTTTGTTGCCATCTGAGATCTCAGTCCTTGTTTTCCCTTTATGAGGGAGAAAACACTAACTTTTATGATACAGTCAACATGAGTGTTTTGCCACCATGTTTTTGTCCTCTTCGTACAGACTCTGTGATCTTTGGTTCCCTGAGATTCACTCAGTTGGGTCCTTTAAAGTGCAATATAATAATCTACTGGTGTCAAAATGTCTCAGAGAAGAGACAAGTATGTGTATGCCTTACTGCCCAAGTGACTGAATCCTTCCTGAAGAAGTGAACATTGCCAGATTCATCAGGATGTGACAACAGAGGTGCTTTGTGTAATCTGTGTCAATCCTGTCTTTGACATCCGTCAAATCTCTGGTTGCTGGGGCTCCTCTCATTGACTCAACCCTTTATCTACGTGCCTAAGGCGCCAGGGATTTTTCCATCATCATGTACAGAACCATCAGTGAGAAATCATGAAGCCAGTGTGCTGGTGTTTTAAGTGTGTTTAATAGTGTGAATCCGAATGCACGAGTGAATTTAGCTGTGCTCTCTCAGTGAAACTGTCTCGTTAAATACTGGTAACCGACCCATTAATATGAATGAAGGATGACTTGCATGGTGGATGTTCTGCAGTATATCTTTGATGTGGTATGCAATTTGAATAGTGCAACTCCATGATAAAGACAATAAAGGAAAACTCTGTTTATCATGTAACACAACTGAGGTTTCACATCATCAGCGTACCTGTGAGAAGATTTTAAAATAGATTCTGCACTTCAATTTTAAGCCATATTTGCCTGTTTTTGCTATAGCTGCACATCCTCCGCCAAATGCTGACGTACTACTAAAAAGGTATATTTGGGATGGTATGTGTCTAATGCTGCCTTCAAGTGCACCTGGGAAAATCATACCATTCAAGATATGTAACATGGAAGACTAAATTAAGCAAATTAATTATTTTGTGAACAATAAAACCCAAATAACTGCATCTGATTTAAAAATGTAAACACGGTATCTCTGCCTCTTTTTTATTTATTATTATTATTTTGGTTACATTAAGCAAACCATAAACGTTGAGTGATTAACTTGTTTTTCTCTGCTCAACACTGAACTGACAATCTTTTGGCGTTGATAGTTTCTCTCTTACCCTGCAACTAATGTTCGAGAACTTTTGTGAAAAAGAAAGCTGTCTAACAAAAAAAATACCTGAAGCACTTAAGAGGACATTTGGAACTTTCCAAGGAAATGGCAAACCTTTCGCTCTCTGTAACGGTTAGAAGTGTTGCAATAGTTTTAAATCTAAAGATGAGTGTTTGGTTGCACCAATCGTATGGCGAGGAGGGTGCTGATGCTGCCGCTGGCCAATCGCGCGCTGCAGGGGCGGTGTGAGCGCGCACGCGGGTATATAGACTGAACCGCGCACCTTTGGCCCCTCATTGCTGTGTTGGCGGAGACACGTAACGCGTCTGCACTCAACGGAGTTCAAAAACGATTTTTGGTGATTTTCCCACCAAAAGACTTTAACGTTTTCTGAAGAACTTGTATCCACAAAGACTAAACGAAAATGGTAAGTGAGACTCTAGTCTCTAAAAAATGAAAACTTCACAGCTTTAACAAAAAGTCAGTCGTGGTCGTTCCAACCAAAACCGACGAATTATTTTTGATGTTGCGTTCTTTGATTTCGTAGTTGTGTGACTCTATTTGATGCATCTTAAAGGGACAGTTCACCTAAATGTGAAAGTTCTGTCGAAGACTAAGCGAAAATGGTAAGTGAGACTCTAGTCTCTAAAAAATGAAAACTTCACAGCTTTAACAAAAAGTCAGTCGTGGTCGTTCCAACCAAAACCGACGAATTTTTTTTGATGTTGTGTGACTCTATTTGATGCATCTTAAAGGGACAGTTCACCTAAATGTGAAAGTTCTGTCATTCACTTTCAAACCAGTACGACTTTTGCTATTCCGTGGAACACAAAATGACATTTTGGGAAGGTTGACGTCCTACATTCACGTTCAATACGTTGTACGTGAACTGTCCCTTTAAGACAATGAGGTCACAAAAGTTACTTCAGTCACATTATCAACCAACTTTATATAACTGCAAACGTCGTTTAATCTTCCCATCTCTTCCTTGTCTTAGTTTTCACGTGAAATATTTCGTGTGCGCTATGCAGGAAGTGTGACTTTTTGTAGGCAACCTTTAAAAAATGAATATTATTTTTTTTTCCCGGCCGGTATGTATGATTGGAGCGTAATATGAAATAACTCCGAAGCTGCGCGTGAGGAATTTGTGGAATTCCACTGCAGAGGCCGCTCACGCGCGCTGCGGCCCGGGAAGAGTGCAAGACTGGGGGATGGGGAGTCTGCTGACTGGTTTTCCTCCCACTTCTACAGACTTTTAGCCTTCAAGATACACTTGGAGCGGTCATTCTTTTAAAGGGGTCATATGATGCGATTTCAATTTTTCCTTTCTCTTTGGAGTGTTACAAGCTCTTGGTGCATAAAGAAGATCTGTAAAGTTGCAAAGACTAAAGTCTAAAATCCAAAGAGACATTCTTTATAAAAGTTAAGAGTCAGCCACACCTACCTGAAACGGCTCGTTCTAACACGCCCCCACATGTCTACCTCACTATGTGGGAAGATTTGCATAACGCCGCCCAAATGTTCACGCAAAGAAAGAAGGCGTAACTTTTATTCTCGCTGTAGTATTGTTGCCGCTTTCCGCCGTGTCCTGAAGACACTGTGTTTCGTTGTGAAAGCGAAACTACTTTGTTTGGTCTTCCAAAAGAGGACGATATCCGCTGCGTCATGCCTGGAGCTGATCCATGCTGGTCGCTGAGGGAATACATCAACTATGCTGTGGATCGGCTTTCACCGTGGACGATGCCCGGGGTCGTCACATGTGCTTGCCTCTTACTGATGTTTCAAACGCGAGTTTTGGGCAGTGTGGAGTAGCTCTTTTTGTTAGTTATTTCTCTGATCACAAATGCAGACAGTGTTTTATGTTTACGCGGCGCGATGCAATGCGTAAAAAGACAGTACAAGTCATTAGAATCAGTAATTATGTCCCCACTGGATGCAACAAATGCCTCGTTTGTAATGGGTTTTAATGTTTTTGTCTCGTCGCTCCAGCTGGGACATGGCATCAACAATATGGTGAAAAAAATTATGTAAAATACCTTTACACATTGAGAATTCTGTCCATCATGTACTACTGCTGCGTTCAAGTCCTCCTGGGACGTTCGTACTTACGAGTTGACAAGTCGTAATTGTGCAAAACTTGCATTTCATTAACTAGCTGTGTAACAAGAACATGACCAATTTAAGTTTATAGGAAAACTAAACTATCAATTTAAATAAAAATTTATTGTCAACTACAGACGTTGCATCCATCGATTCCGCCATGTTTCTCATTGACACACCCCCAGCTCGGAAACTCGGGGCTTAAAGAAAATTTCGAGTTTCCCATTCGTAATAATGACAAATTAATTTGTGGTGGCGTTCATGTGCGTTCCACTCGTAAATACGATCTATCCGACATGACTTGAATGCACCATAAGATACTGGGTTTGTGCCTGGAGCCAGTAGTTGGTTGGCAGCCATTTAATTTTGCCCCCCCCCCCATGCAGCGTGAGTGCATCTCCATCCATGTGGGCCAGGCTGGAGTACAGATTGGCAATGCATGCTGGGAGTTGTATTGCCTAGAGCATGGCATCCAGCCTGATGGCAATATGCCGAGTGATAAGACCATTGGTGGAGGGGATGACTCCTTCAACACTTTCTTCAGTGAGACCGGCTCTGGGAAGCATGTGCCACGAGCTGTGTTTGTGGATCTGGAGCCTGCAGTCATTGGTGAGTGAGTGTGTGTGTGTGTGTATAAATATATATATATATATATCTATCAGCCATCATAAAACCAAGCTTTTGGCTTGTAGCAAATCAGTGTTTTATTATGCCTGAAATGTTGAAATTAACGTGTATGTTATCTCCACCATCCAGAGTTCAATTAGTTTCAATAATTTAAGTGTGAATAGCTGGTTTTATGCTTTAAAGAGCTGTATATCAAAAAGTGATGATATACTTGTATTTTATGTTTCAGATGAGGTGAGGACTGGAACCTACAGACAGCTGTTTCATCCAGAGCAGCTCATCTCTGGGAAAGAAGATGCAGCCAATAATTACGCCCGTGGCCATTACACTGTTGGCAAGGAGATTATTGATATGGTCCTGGAGCGTGTCCGCAAACTGGTATGAACTATGATTGAGCATCAGAGAAACACAAAGTAGGGATGCACTGTTAAGACCATAAAAGTATAAAATTTAACTGTTAATTTTAATTTGTGTTTTTAAAGATTAAGTGAGTGTTAGATTATGGTAAAGGTAATCTAATTTTGTAATAACTACTTTTGGCTGATAACTAATATGGTATCGATATATATTAAAAGGAGCGTCTTGAAAGAAATAGTTCACCCAGAAATAAAAATTCTGTCATTTACTCACGCTCGTGTTCTTTAACACAAGGAAGTGAAATGCATTGTGAAGGCGAGTAAGTGACCATTTTTATTTTGGGGTCAACTGTCCTTTTAAGTACAGTTTAGACCAATATACAGTAGGGCTGTGCGATTAATCGAAATCGTGATTTGCTAATCGCAAAGCCTGCGATGTGGACGCGATATTACTCTGTTCCAGAGCATATGCATGACTGCCAGCCTTGTTGCAGTCTTACTTGCCCTGGGCAAGAGTGAGCGCACCTCCGTTCTCCCCAATCAGCACTGCTCTAACCAAATGCGTAAACACCCACCATTAAAAAAAAAAAAATCAAAGGGATTATGGCGTCTACTGGGTCAGATCGATAGTTAGGCAAATTAAAACTAAAGAAAAACGTATGCAACTTAAGCTTCGAAATGAC